TCTCCGGCCATGAACTTCTCCAGGAAGCTGTCCCAGGTCCCAGGGTCAGGGTGCACCTTGGCCATCTGGTGGAAGTGGTAGTAAGAGACGGCCACATCCTTTGCGTTGCGGGCAACATAGACCACCTGCAGGGGCAGAGGACCCGGCCCAGCGCCATCACACGGCCTGCCCCAAACCGGCTCATCTCTTGGTTTGGCAAAGGAGGAACCTGAGGCTTAGACTCTGACTTGCTTGAGATCTCATGGAAGAGGTAGGTCCAAGCGGGGATCTGAACCCTGCTCAGAGGTCAAAGTCTGGCCTGGTCTCTGGATCCGTATTCCATACTAGCGTAATCTGCATAAATGTCTAGGCCCACCAGTTTAGAGCAAGGCAGGCGTATTCCCACCAGCCCCAAATTCCCAAATTGTGGGCCTGTGAGAACCCACCCTCTACATTTCTTAAGTCTACACTGAAGAGTCTCATGTTCTTGGTCATCAGAGCAAGAGGCAGACAGTCTCCCCCCTGAAGATGTGACAGGACTGGAGACAGTGTGGCGACTCCCCCAGAAAACGGGACCAGGCTGGGCCAAACTGGAGCCTCCTTCCCTGGATTCACATGCTCCACACTTGGACCTTTTCTTTTTCCTTTTGTTCTGGAATTTTTTATTTTTTTATTTTTTCACAGAGAGTGTCAAAAAGAAAAGACCTTGGTCTTTGTTTTGTCCTGTTGCCCAGGTTGAGTGCACTGGAGGGATAACAGCTCACTGCAACCTTGACCTCTCACACTCAAGCGATCGTCCAACCTCAGACTTTCGGGTAGCTGGGACTACGGCACCAGGCCACCACGCCCTGGGGATGTTTTGCATTCTTTATAGAAATGGAGTCTCCGCATGCTTCCCAGGCTGGTCTATGACTCCTGAGCTCAAGTGATCCACCCACCTTGGCCTCCCAAAGTGCTGGCATAAGGAGTGAGCCAACACAGGTGGAAAACATTTTTTTAATCTTTATTTATTTATTTTGTTTATTTGTTTGAAACAGAGTTTCCCTCTGTCTTCCAGGCTAGAGTGCAGTGGCACGATCTCGGCACACTGTAACCACTGCCTCCTAGGTTCAAGTGATTTTCCTGCCTCAGCCTCCTGAGTAGCTAGGATCACAGGCGCTTGCCCCCAGGCCTGGCTAATTTTTGTATTTCTAGTAGAATATGGGGTTTCCCCACGTTGGCCAGCCTGGTCTTGAACTCCTGACATCAGGTGATCTGCCCACCTCGACCTCCCAAAATAGTGGGATTACAGGCATAAGCCACCATGTGTCTGGCCTTTTTATTTTTATTATTTATTTATTTATTTATTTATTTTTGAGAATGAGTTTCACTACTGTTGCCCAGGCTGGGGTGCAATGGTGTGGTCTCGGCTCACTGCAACCTATGCCTCCCAGGTTGAAGTGATTCTCCTGCCTCAACCTCCCAAGTAGCCAAGATTACAGGTGCCCACCACCAGGCCAGGCTATTTTTTTTTTTTTTTTTATTTTTAGTAAAGATGGGGTTTCACCATGTTGGCCAGGATGGTCTCGAACTCCTGACTTCAGGTATCTGCCAGCCTCAGCCTCCCAAGTGCTGGAAATACAGGTGTTAGCTACCATGCCTGCCCGCCCCTCTTTTTATTCTTCATCTTTTTTTGAGACAGGGTTTCTCTATCACCCAGTCTGGAGTACAGTAGTGTGATCATACCTCACTGCAGTCTTGAACTCCTAGGCTCAGGTGATCCGCCCACCTCAGCCTCCTGAGTAGTTGGTACTACAGGCACACATTATGCTCAGCTAATTTTTTTTTTGGAAGAGACTGGTCTGGAAATTCTGGCTTCAAGGGGTCTTCCCACCTCAGCCTCCCAAAGTGCTGGGATTGTGGGTGTGAATCACTGTGCCTGGCCTCACCTTGACCTTCTGATCCAACAGGGTCTGGGGGACCAGAGCCAGGGGCAGGTGCGTCTTCAGGAGCCGTGGGGCCGGCGTGTCTTTCAGAGTCTCCAACCCTGAGTGGTGGGTCAGGGAAGGTCTGGTGAGCTGAAGCCCCAGCCCTGTCTTCCTCCACTCCCCTTGCCCCCAGGACCCAGTCACACACCTGAGGGAACCCCTGGGGCTTTGAACTCAAGAAAGGGCACCCGCATGAAGATGGGAGCCCGGTGACACTTGTCCAGGTCGCCGTCCTGATAGATCATGTCCAGTACCTGGCTCACCCAGGTGGTGCCTGGAGAGGGAGGGAGATAGGAGGTGAACAGGCTGAGGGTACAGCCTGGCAGGCCAAAGTAGGGGCTGCCACATGGGAGAGGGTGGGTGGCCCTCCTCACCTACCGGACTTGGGGTAGGTGCTGATGAGCAGGTCATCGGGCCGGGCCCGGAAGCTCTCCAGGGGCCCCAGTGCCTCCGCAAAGCTCTTGATGAGGGGGACCCCCTTCACATACTCCAGTCGCTGGCGGAGGCTGTCCTGCATCAGCTCCATGTTCCTGCGTCAGGGCCAGAGCCAGGTCCACACCCTTAACACCATCACAACACCGTGTACAGAATTCTCACTTTCAGGGAAGTCACTGAGGCCTAGGGAGGCTGAGTGACTTGCCTGAGCTCACAAAGCCAGTCAGTGGCAGGGCTGGGACTGAAAACCAGGTCTGCGTCTAGTGCGGTGGTTCCCCAGCATGGCCGAAGCTTTCATTCACTTGCAGAGCTGTGCAAAATCCCAGGGCCTGGGCCATGGTGCAGACCAGTGAAAGTGCCCTCACAGGGCAGGGCCCAGGTATCAGGGTGTGTGAAGGTCTCCAGGAGACTCCAGCTGCCCTGAGGAAGCTCTAGGCCTGCCTGTGCTGTCTCCCTGCCAGCCAGTACCCTTTGTCTCACGATTTCTTGCTGAGACCCCAGCCTCCACCCAGTGGGCTCCTCTCCCGGATGCTCCCCTCCTTCTGGGCTCCTCACATGTGGAAACCTCCCAGGTCAGCCAGGCCTGTGATCCACTTGCCCGGTCACAGTCCACTTGGGCTCTAAGACAAACACAGCCCATTGACCAACTAGCTGGTATTGGGGGCCAAAGCCTGGTGTGGGAATGAGCAAGACCCATGACTTAGCAGAAGGAGGGTCCTGCGCAGGGTGACTCCCACCTGTAATACCAGACCCTAAGAGGCCAGGAGCTGGAGACCAACCTGGGCAGCATTGTAAGCCCCATGTCTAAAATCTTTTTAAAATATTTTTAAAATTAATCAGGCAGGATGACGAGGACCTGTAGTCCCAGCTACTCCAGAGGCTGAGGCAGGAGAATCGCTTGAACCCAGGAATTCAAGGCTGCAGTGACCAGAATCCTCCTGTACTCCAGCCCAGGTGACAGAAAGACCTGGCCTCCTCCACCCAAAAAAAAAGGAAGTAAGGGGATTCACGCCCGGCCAGGGTTGTCTGATTGAAATGGGATATCCATGGGGAAAGAGCAGGAATGGCAGAGGCCTCAGCTTCTGGAATGTTGGAGCCAGAAGCTGAGCAGGGTGAGGGCGACCTGGGCCATTCCACCATGTCACTCACCTGAGCTTTCGGGAGCCTGGCCCTCCTTGCCCGCAGTGGCTGAGTGTGGGTGCGGTGTGGGGAATGCAGGGCTGTTGTCTGCACGGAGGATTTCCTAAGTCCAGTGTGGGAGGGATCTGCAGCCAGGGCCGGACTTAGTTTTGTTCCCCGGAGGAAGGGGTGGGGTTGGGAGCTGGGGAGCCTCTCCATTACCCTCCTTAGTCCGCCAGCTGGAGACAAGCTTAGCGTGATCTGCAAAGCCAAGACTGATTTGGTTTGTAGAAAAGAGAAGAATGAAAGAACAAAGGGCCCAATGGTGGGTTTTGTTTTCTTTTTTCTTTTTGAGCTGTCATGGGGTTTCTGACCTGCCCCTGAACTCCACCCTGCCAGGCAGGCCAACAGACAAACTTTCTCTAATTAACCCAGAGAAGATGGAAGGGATTGGAGGAGAAAGATGGGCTAGGCAGGCCCAGGAAAGACCAGCCCCAGCCTCATGGCTCCCAGGGGACCTCACAGAGCATCAGTAGAAGACTCTAGAAGAACAGCAGTCCCTGGCAGGTGCTTTTCTTTCTGTTGGTTTGAAGGAGACTCCACAGACAGAGGCTAGAGGAAGTTGGTGCTTGCAAGCCACGGGCCCCCATGGAAGGAGGGCACCCCTCATCCTCCTCATTCTTTGATCTCACTATTGAAAGTCCAGGGTCAAGCTGGGTAGGAGACAGGTAACCATCTGAGTAAAGGTGAGTCTCCCAAGGCTTTCAAGAATTCCGTGAACTCAGAGGCAAGCAGGGGAAAGCTGAGGCATGGGGTTTCCAGGCAGAGGGGAGGCTGCTCACCTGCTGGGGTCACGGCCCCTCCTCCTTCCTCTGTGCCTTGAGGAAACCCCGTGACTGGCAGGTCCTCAGGCTACCAGCTCCATCCTTATATGCCCTTAGCCAACCATCAGGAGGCCCGCTTGACGCAGACTTTGTATTGCACTTTAGGAAAAACTGGCTGGACCGCTTGGAGTGGCACAGATAAGAGGCAAGAATGTGAGATTAATACAGGGTGATGGAAGGAGAATAGAAAATCCCAGGCAGCAGTTTCACGTGACCTGAAGAAGGAAACTTGAAATAGCTGCAGGTACCCGGGCGCAGAGGCTCACGCCTGTAATCCCAGCACTTTGCAAGGATGCGGCAGGTGGAGAATGAGGTCTGGAGTTCGAGACCAGCCTGACCAACAAGGTGAAACCCCGTCTCTATTAAAAATACAAAAATTAGCTGGGTGTGGTGGTGCGCACCTGTAATCCTGGCTACTCAGGAGGCCAAGGCAGGAGAATATCTTGAACCCAGGAGGTGGAGGTTGCAGTGAGCTGAGATCATGCCATCGCACTCCAGCCTGGGCAGCAGAGCGAGACTCTGTCTCAAAAAAGAAAAGAAAAGAAACAGCTGCATGTGCTAAGGGCCAGTAAGTCCCTGAAAAATGGGATGAGGACCAAGCTGACTAAAACCAACCAGACCCAGCATGGCGCTGCGTTTGATGTAGGTTTCACCTAGGGTCCCATTATATGATCAGTAAGATGTTAACTCATACACCCACCAGTGCCAAGACCGCTCCAGGAACACCTGTGTTTGGGTGTAAATTGTGGCACCACGGTTTTGAGAAATCTTTACCTTTTGCTGGAATCTTCATGAATATACCGTCTTTAAAGAAGCCCATAAAGGTCAGCCCCAAACCTCCTAGGGCATGAGACACTCTCTTGATGACCCCCACATTCCCCTTCTTGAGTGTGTCCTTTTGCGCTGCAAGCAGTCTCCCTACATTTGTGACTTTCTTACTTGTCTTAAATTCCTCCTGGCAAAGGTGTCAAGAGCCTGGAGACACTGAGGTGGATGTCCCACCGGCCTTTGAGGACCTCCCCTAGGCCACCGGTATATCTGGAGGGGTTAGGGACGCTGAGGATCAGGTCCCCAGCAGGGCTGTCCAGTGTGTCTATAGAGGCAATGTTGTACCCGAGCAGGTTAAGGAATGTGCCACACTCTGAGATTGAATTGTGAGTCCTTTATTTTAGCCGGCAAACGAGAGATGCCTAATGCCCAAAATTCTTGCGGCCCTGAAGAAAAAGTCTGGGGTTTTTTATACCCCAGTTTGAAAAGGGAGGGGGGAACCTAGCTGAAGCAAGTTTTTTCACAGAAGCAGAGTAAGAAAAAGTTAAAAGTGAAACTAGTACATGAGAAATAGAACCAGGTGCAAGGGCTAGAGCTGTCATAAAAAGACATACACCTTATAGATATGGGGGCTCTGGACACTCGACAGCACCTGCATTCCCAGGCTCTGCTGGTGCCACTTTACTCGGCCTCTTATCAGCAAATGCACTCTGGGATGCGCCCGCAGTTGTCCTGCCCCACCTGCATACTACAGTTGCATACTTAATGAGGGGAATAACTAAATGAAGAAGCTAAGATGGAATCTGTCCAGCTTAAGAAGCTAACATGAGGCCTGAACAGCTCTTAGCTAAGAAAGAGAGAGTCCATTTAAGCCAATAAAATGTAGGTTATCACGGCAAGGTTGGTGACAGCCCAGGGCAGGGAGTGGGGTGGCAAGGCGGGGCGAAAGCCCACTCACATCTTCTAATTCTGAGTCTTCTACTGTTTCCTCCGTGCCCATCCGCACAGCCAGATCAGGTCACTTAAAGCAGTGACCTCTCATAGCTACCAAGGCATGGGGCCAGAGAGATAGAGTCAGGCATCACAAGTCCCCTCCAGGCTGGGCCCTGAATATCAAGATGAGGACTCTGCTGCCCAGGCCTGGCTTATACAACTGGGCACCCTCTTCCCAGAGCGGGACCAGGCTGGTGCCGGGGGACTGCACTCACCTAGGCATCGGCCCTCTATGGGCAGAAGCTGCCCTGGTTCTTCCCAAAGGAACTCCTCTGCCAGGCAGATCACGTGGGCCCTTGGCGGGTAGTCAGGGTCGGGGCAACACAAAGGCCCCTGTTCATCCTGTCCCAGGCAGCAGGCAGGTAAGAGGCAAGGAGGGAGAGGGAGCTGGCAGGGAGCCTCTGTGCAGCAGGCACTGTTCCTGGTGTTACACAGCTCCATATTTGCATTTTACAGACGAGGAAATGGAGGTCGGGGGTTAAAATCCTTGCTCTCTGGGACTAAGCTGGTGAAGGTCCCGTGAGCATCAGCAGTGACTGAGTCACAGCCTGGACACTGCAGCCAGACTTGAACTTTGTGACAGCTCAGCAACGGCCAGCAGGTCACTGAATGAATCTCTGCAGGGCTAGTCCTCCACTCACAATTATCAGGAGCTCAGTAGAAGCCCGCCCATCATCCATTATTTTATTAACTATTTATTGGACAGCAGCTCTGTGTAGGACTCTGTTCTCCAGCAGTGACAAGAGCTGCCTTCAGGCAGTTTAGTACAAAGGTTGGGATGGGAGAGACTAATGAGATCAATAAAACACGAAGCCCGTGAGATAATAAGTATTCAGGAGAAGGAGCCATGGTGAAGTACACAAGACATGCAATTTTAGTTTATCTTTTTAGAGACAGAGTCTTGCTCTTTCGCCCAGGCTGGAGTGCAATGGAACAGTCAGAGCTCACTGCAGCCTCCAGCTCCCGGGCTCAGGCAATCCTCCCACCTCAGACTCCCCAGTAGTTGGCACTACAGGCATGTGCCACCGTGCCCGGCTTCTCAGAGCTGCAATTTTAAATCGGGAGACAGGGAAGACCTCTCTGTGGAGGTGGCAGGTTATCAAGACAGATGAGGGTGTAGAGAAGAACCTTCCAGTCAAAGGGAAAAGGCAGGTCCTGCTGCGCTCAGCAAGGGACAGAAGTACTGTCATCCCCATCTAGAGACGGGGACAGGGCCGCAAAAGTGTCAGGGCGTTTCCTGGTTCCTCAACAAACAGCTGGATCCGAAGTCGTCGGGACGCTGCATCCCCCTTGCCTGGGGCGAACCTCCCCTGAAGTGCGCGGGCGCTTCAGGGCGAACAGGCCTCTGGGGTCCCGGGTCCGGCTCAGGCTCACGCTCGGCGTCAGCAAAGGGACCTGCGAGGCGCCCTGGGGCGGGGGAGGCCCGAAGGCCAGCGGCCAGTACTGCACAGCCGTCAGAGCTCCCGGCGGAGGTCTGGGCGCTGCGGGAGCGGCTGGTGCGCCCAGGGCGGGGGAGACGGGTCCACTACAATCCGGCGGGGTACGGGGGCGCCAGGACTGCGTCGGGTAGGGGTAGGACCCCAAACCCCGGACACTCGCCGCCACGCGGTCTCCTTCCTTGCTGGAATGGTGGACACGGCGGACGGGAAACAGTGCAGAACATGCACCATCACCCTGGGGAGGAGAACGTGGGTGTCCCTTTGGGCCCCGCTGCGCCCCACCACGAGTACCCTCCAATTCTACCCGAGAGCGGGGTCCTCGCTCCCGGCTTCAGCCGAGCCCCAGGCCCTGCCGCAGCCTGCAGCCGCGCCCCCTCCACCTGCCAGTCTCAGAACCCGCCTCCAGTCTAGGTACCCGTCTGTCACCCCTGCTCTCCTCCTGCGCCCCACCCAACCCCAGCGTGCCCACCAGGACCCCTAGGCAGGACCCCAGCCTGGATCATCACCCCCGCCCCAGCCAGTTCCTCCCGGAGTTCCACCATCAAGATTCCCCTGGCACCGCCTCCCCGTCACGCTCCTCCCCTGGGACAGGCTCGGTCCCCGCCCGCTTCACAGGCCTGGCAGGTCCCTCTCATCAGACCTGTGCCCAGTGCCGTCTGCCTCCTCCAGGAAGCCTTCTTCCCAGCACAGAGACCCTCTCCGTCTCACCAGGAGTGCAATGGCGCTATTTCGCTCACTGCAACCTCCGACGTAGCCCCGCACCTCCTCCTCCTCCCCATGCTTCCACCCCCCTCCCCGACCCGCTTATTCTCCTGCCTCAGCCTCTTGAGTAGCTAGAATTACAGGTATGTGCCACCATGCCTGGTTAATTTTTACATTTTAAGTAGAGACGGGGTTTCACTATGTTTGCCGGGCTGATCTCGAACTTCTGACCTCAAGTGATCAGACCGCTTCGGCCTCCCAAAGTGCTGGGATTACCGATGTAAGCCACTGTGCCCGGCCTGGGTCCTGCCTTCGGTGCAGCCTCCATTATGTTGCTGGACCCGACAAGCAGGGTGGACAGTGAACCCCACGTAGACGCCATCCTGGTGCGGAGGGGTTCAGGCAGTAGAGCAGGTAATAGTGGAAGAAGCGCCTCGGCCTCGCTGCAACTACCGCGGGACTCTTCGAATTTTAGGAAATTTTTTATTAAACACACTTCTGTGTCAGCACCAACATCAAGAATAGAAACTGACCTGCATCTCCGAACCCGATTTGTCCCTCCCTGGTTCCTCCCCCTGGGTACCCGCTGTGCTGCCACCTCACCCATCTGTAGCTGAGTGCAGCAGCCCCTGTAGGACACCTGGCAGATGGGGCCACAGTCCTGCTGGGCCCTTGGGCTCAGTCGGGAGCTAAGGCTCTCAGGATTCCTCCAACAGCTCAGTGCAGCAGGCTAGGTGGGGTTGGGGCCGGACCTGCTCCTGTGGTCATGGCTTCCTTCCTTCCTACATCGGCCAAGATCCTAAGTCTCTACAATGACTCAGAGCCACCCCGGAAGACCATGTGCAGAGGGGTGCTGGTGACCCTGCTGCAGCAGTCGGCCATGACCCTGCCCCTGTGGATCGGGAAGCCTGGTGACAAGGTGAGGGCAGCAGCTTCGAGGGAGGGGCTGGTGCCCAGGGGCTGGCACTGACCCTTGGTTCCACTCACAGGCCCCCACCCCTCTGTGGGGCCATCACCACCTCTGGACTACATGGCCAGACCTGGAGACAAGGTGGCTGCCCCGGTGAAGGCTGTGGATGGGGACGAGCAGTGGATCCTGGCCGAGGTGGTCAGTTACAGCCACGCCACCAACAGGCGAGTGACACCAGCCCCAGGGATGCTCTCTGGTCACCGCACCTGCCTGGGCTTTGGCTCTGCAGCAGGAGAAAAGCTCCCCAGAGGGTGTTGTGGACGGGTCCTGCTGTGCAGGGAGCACCCAGCTCTTGGGCTGTCCCCGTCCTCTTCACTTCCCGACAGGGACCGCGACCCTGGCTGCATCCAGCGTTTTCTTCCTTTTGTCTGCAGGTATGAGGTAGATGACATCGATGAAGAAGGCAAAGAGTCAGTGTCCAGGCCAGGGCAGGGCACAGGGCCTGGGGGACAGCCTAACAGCCGGGAAGGAGCTTCCCCATGTGGCCACGTGTTGACACAAGCCCCTCTACCCCCAGGAGACACACCCTGAGCTGGTGTGGGTCATCCTGCTGCCCCAGTGGAAGGCCAACCCCAAGACAGACTCCAAGAGTTTGTTTGGGCCAGGACACGGCATGGAGCCCGGGTGAGGCAGGATAGTCCGTGAAGGAGACAATGACGTTCTGGGGATGCTGCCACCCTGGTGACCGCATAGCTAATATAGTAAGCCTTAGCATTCGCCTGGTCACTGAGCTCATTCGAGCAAAGCTATCTCCAGTAGAGACTTCCCGTTTTGAGAACATTTGCGTTTGCATTTTACCTGTCCTCAAACTGACCCTTTGCTCATTTAATAGTAAAAACCACACCTCTGGGTGGAGACTTAAAATGCTAATGAGACATTCGTCCTAGGAACAAGCATGCATAGCAAATGCCCATGTGCACCCAGAGCCACCCAGAACATGCTTACTAGTGACTCCTCTTCCCACCCTTATGAACAATTGTGTGAGACTCCCAACAAGGGGGTTTTTCCTGCAGTAATCAACACTGTCTAGCCCCGACGAAGAGCCTGTTCTGAACTCTCCAAGGTATATTGCCCACTTTGAACTTTCAAAATACCGTTTATCTGTTGCAATAAGTTACTCTATGCTGTACTTCTTTTGCTGTGTGTCTCTTGTTTAAACTATTTTATTTATTCATTTATTTTGAGGCGGAGTCTTGCTCTGTCGCCCAGGCTTGAGTGCAGTGGCATGATCTCGACTCACTGCAACCTCCACCTCCCAGGTTCAAGCGATTCTCATGCCTCAGCCTCCCAAGTAGTTGGGATTACAGGCGTGCACCACCAAGCCTGGCTAATTTTGTATTTTTAGTAGTGACAGGGTTTTGCTATGTTGGCCAGGCTGGTCAGGAATCATAATTTATTTTAATTAAATTGTATTTTATTTATTTCTCAGGCAGGGTTTGCTCTGTCCCCCAGGCTTGAGTGGATTGGCTTAATCACCACTCACTGCGGCCACAGCCTCCCTGGCTCAGGGGATCCTCCTGCCTTAATTTGGCATGTACCTGGGACTACAGGTGCTCACCACCACATGAGGATAATTTTCTCAAATTTGTAGGGATGGCGTCTTGTAACGTTGACCAGGCTGGTCCCAAACTCCTGCCCTCCAGTGATCCTCTGATCTCTACTTCTCAAATTGCCGGCATTACAGGCATGAGCCACCCTGCCTGACCCACAAATCATATTTTATTCTCTTTTTAAAAATTGATTTTATTTTATTACTTTTTGCAACAGAATCTCACTATGTTGCCCAGGTTGGTCTTGAACTCATGGGCTCAAGTGATCCTCCTACCTCAGCCTCCAAATTGCTGGGATTACAGACATGACCCACTGTCACTGGCCCACAATTCATATTTTATTCCTGAGCCCCGTGGTCAGGCTTGACTCGCACACTCCCTCTGCAGTGACCCCGGGAGCCCTGTCACAGCTGGGAGCGGAAGCTGAGGCTGCAGCCTGCCATTTTCTCTGCATAGTCCGGGTCGAAGCGCTCATTCTGCGCCACAGTGAAGGTGGTTTTCCAGTCCCCAGCCGTGCCTGGGAGAGGAAGGCAGGGAGCAAAGCTGGAGTCTCACCCCAGGGGAGGCCCCGGGTGCCTATGGGGAGGCTCCAGCTGCTGCTCCCACCAGCCCCAAACCCCCGTGCTGGCCGGCGCCCACCTCTCCTCATGAAGGGGGAGATGCTGTGGTCCATGANGGGCTGCCTGGAGAGGGGACTGGGTGGCCTTGCGGGTCCCTGTGAGGTGCCTGTCCCCAGGTGTCCCATGGAGGGCAGCAGCACAGGTGGTCTCACCTCCTTCATGTCTTCATAGAAGAGGTAGAGAACAGGGTGTGTGCGGCTCAGCTCCCACCACTCCTGCACGTGCTGGTACCAGGACCCGTAGGACACTGGAGAAGTGGGCGGGGGACAGCGACACAGGGTTGCTGTGTGTTGTAGCCACCCCTCGGCTCCACACCCTCCTTCCTCCAGTCACCCCACCTTCTCCGGCCATGAACTTCTCCAGGAAGCTGTCCCAGGTCCCAGGCTCAGGATGTGTCTTTTCCATGCGGTGGAAGTGGTAGTAAGAGACGGCCACGTCCTTTGCGTTGCGGGCAACATAGACCACCTGCAGGGGCAGAGGACCCGGCCCAGCGCCATCACACGGCCCGCCCCAGGCCGGCTCATCTCTTGGTTTGGCAAAGGAGGAACCTGAGGCTTAGACGCTGACTTGCTTGAGATCTCATGGAAGAGGTAGGTCCAAGCAGGATCTGAACCCTGCTCAGATGTCAAAGTCCAGCCTGGTCCCTGGATCCATATTCTATATTAATGTAATCTGCATCAACATTATCACACCCCAATCTGGAGCAAGCATGCCCAGTTCCCACCAGCCCTTCCTCTTCCGGCCTGTGGGCACCCACATGCTGCCTTTCTCAAGTGTGCACTGTAGAGACTCACTATCCTGGCATTGGACCCCCTTCAGAGCAAGAGGGCAGACCATACCCTCTGTCAAGATGTGATGAAGGCTGGGCACAGTGGCTCATGCCTTTAATCCCAGCACTTTGGGAGGCCAAGGTGGGCAGATTACCTGAGGTCAGGAGTTCAAGACCAGCCTGACCAACATGGTGAAACCCCATCTCAACTACAAATTCAAAATTAGCCGAAGGTGATGGTGGGTGCCTGTAATCCCAGCTCCTTTTGAGGCTGAGGCAGGAGAACCGCTTGAACATGGAAGGTGGAAGTTGCAGTGAGCTGAGATCAAGCCACTGCACTCTAGCCTGGGCAACAAGAGCAAAATTCTGTCTAAAAAAAAAAAAAGATGTGATGAGCCTGGTAGAAGTGAGGTGGCCTTTCCAAAAGAACAGAAACATGGCTGGGAGGGTGCCCAAGTCTCCCTTTCTGGCCTTCCCTACCAATCAGCAGGAACTTTTTTTCTTTGTAAAGATGGTTTTGCTCTGTTGCCCAGGCTGGAGTGCAGCAGCAGGCAGGGCTCAATGCAGCCTCCAATTCGCATAAACAATCCTCTCCACTGAGCCTCCTAAGTAACTGGGAACAGTCTGTGCCACCACACCAGGTTTTTAAATTTTTTTCGTAGGGACGGGACATCATCTCTACAGCAGTGTTGCCCAGGCTGGTCTCCATCTCTCGCCTTCAAGGGATCCTCACACCTCAGCCTCAATCTGGGATGACAGGTGTGAACCTATGTGCCCGGCCTCACCTTGATCTTCTGATCCAACAGAGTCTGGGGGAGCAGGGCCAGGGGTAGGTGTGACTTGATGAGGCGTGGGGATGGTGTGACTTTCAGAGTCTCCAGCCCTGAGTAGTGGGTCAGGGAAGGTCTGGTGAGCTGAAGCCCCAGCCCTGTCTTCCTCCACTCCCCTTCCCCCCAGGACCCAGCCACACACCTGAGGGATCCCCTGGATCATTGAGCTCAAGGAAGGGCACCCGTATGTAGATGGGAGCCCGGTTACACTTCTCTAGGTCACCGCCCTGGTAGATCATGTCCAGTATTTGGCTCACCCAGGTAGTGCCTGGAGGGGGAGGGAGATGGCAGATGAACATGACCAAGGTGGGGGCTGCCGCCTGGGAGAGGGTGGGTGGCCCTCCTCACCTACCAGACTTGGGGTAGGTGTTGATGAGTAGGTCATCAGGTAGGGCTTGGAAGCTCTCCAGGGGCCCCAGTGCGTCTGCAAAGTACTTGATGAGCGGGATCCCCTTCACATACTCCAGAGGCTGGCGGGTGGTGTACTGGTTCAGCTCCATGTTCCTATGTCAGGGGCCAGAGCCAAGCCCACATCCCTTTATGCCGTCACAGCAACACTGTGTGCAGAATTCTTTTTTCTTTTTTTTTTTTTTTGAGATGGATTCTCACTCTGCCACCTAAGCTGGTATGCAGTGGCACAATCTCAGCTCACTGCAACCTCAACTTCTTGGGTTCAAGCAGTCCTCTCCCCTTGGTCTCCCAAGTAGCTGGGATGACAAGCATGTGCAACCACACCCAGCTCATTTATTTTTTTTAAGTGGAAGTAGAGATGGGATTTTACCATGTTGGCCAGGCTGGTCTTAAATTGGCCTCAAGTGATTCGCCCACCTCGGCCTCCCAATGGGCTGGGATTACAGAGGTGAGCCAGCGCCCAGCTGCTCCTTTGCAGTGTTTTTGCTTTCAGGGAAGTCACTGAGGCCTAGGGAGTCTGAGTGACTTGCCCGAGCTCACAAAGCCAGTCAGTGGCAGGGCTGGGGCTGAAAACCAGGTCTGTGTCTAGTGCGGTGGTTCCCCAGCATGGCCGCGCCTTTCATTCACCTGCAGAGCTGTGCAAAATCCCAGGGCCTGGGCCATGGTGCAGACCAGTGAAAGTGCCCTCACGGGGCGGGGCCCAGGTATCAGGGTGTGTGAAGGTCTCCAGGAGACTCCAGCTGCCCTGAGGAAGCTCTAGGCCTGCCTGTGCTGTCTCCCTGCCAGCCAGTGCCCTTTGTCTCACTATTTCCTGCTGAGACCCCAGCCTCCACCCAGTGGGCTCCTCTTCCCAATGCTCCTCTCCTTGACCCCCTCAAGGCCCCTCATATATGGAAACCTCCCAGGCCAGCCAGGCCTGTGATCCATTTGCCCAGCCACAGTCCATCTGGGTTCCAAGACAAACACGGCCCATTGAGCAACTAGCTGGTATTGGGGGCCAGAGTCTGGTGTGGGACTAAACAAAACTTGGATGATTCAACAGAAGGATGGGACAGGGTAGCTCATGCTTGTAATCCCAGAGCTCTGGGAGCCCAAGGGGGAAGGATCACTTGAGCCTTGGACTTTGAGGCCAACCTGGGCAATATAGCAAGACCCTATCTCTAGAAAAAATATATTTAAAAATTAACTGGGCAAGCTGGGCACAGTGGCTCACGACTGTAATCCTAGCACTTTGGGAGGCCGAGGTGGGTGGATCACCCGAGGTCGGGAGTTTGAGGCCAGCCTGACCAATATGGAGAAAATCCGTCTCTACTAAAAACAAAATTAGGTGGGCATAGTGGCCAGCGCCTGTCCTGTAATCCTAGTTACTCGGGAGGCTGAGGCAGAAGAATCGCTTTCACCTGGGAGGCGGAGGTTGCGGTGAGCCAAGATTGTGACACTGCACTCCGACCTGGGCAACGAGAGGAAAACTCAGCGTCAAGAGATCGAGACCATCCTGGTCAACATGGTGAAACCCCGTCTCTACTAAAAAAAAAAAAAATTAGCTGGGCCGGGTTGCTCTCTCCTGTATACTCAGGTACTTGGGAGGTTGAGGCATGATGATCAGGTGAGCCCAGGATTTTGAGGCTGCAGTGAGCTACAATTTGACCTCTGCACTCCATTCTGGGTGTCAGAGCCAAGATCCATCTCAGAAAAACAAAAATAAAAAAGGAAGGGCAGCCAGGCTGGAGTTCCCCTAGTGAAACTGGATATCCATGGGGAAACAGCCAGTATGGCAGAGAGGCCTCGGCTTCTGGAATGTTGGAGCCAGAGGCTGAGCAGGGTGAGGGCGTCCTGGGCCATTCCACTCTGGTACTCACCGGAGTTCTCCAGACTCTGGCTTCCTGCCCTCCTTGCCCACAGCAGCTGAGTGTGGGGAGTGAAGAGCTGCTGTTTGCGAAGGTGTTGTAGGTCCAATGTGGGAGGGATCTGGAGTCAGGGCCAGAGCTGGGTTAGCTCCCGGAAGGAAGGGGTGGGGTTGAGGGTGGGGGGAGCTTCTCCATTACCCTCCCTAGCACCACAGCTGCAGTCAAGCTTAGAGTGATCTCCAAAGCCAAGATGTGAGTTTGGTGT